ATGAGAGGCCAAGGACACGCTTAGAGGGAAGTATATAGCAGAGATGCTGCTCACTGCGTCGGTAGTATGGTACCCGAAAACCGTCCAGTGTCCACAGCAGTTATGGATATCATAGGAAAATATCATAATATAGTCCGGTTAGTCCTAAAGATACATGACTGCTGAGTTCGACAAAGTATCCGACTTGGTTACAGGTCCTGAAAACTACTGTCGGGTTGGATCCGTCAGGACCAGTGGGTCTATCCGTTGGCAAAATTGTGCAAAATTGTGCAAAAGTATCTAGACATTAGGTGGCATGCCGAAACATCAGAATCAAGAAAAAACATAGGTACCTACATCCATACTCCATATTCCGCAAGAAAATAGCCGCAAAAATTGGACAGAAGTCGGGACAAACCTAATTATTTTGCAAGTATTCGGTCCTATAGTAGCTACACAAGACATTCGAGCCTAAGGAAATCACTGCCTACGTCCGAACCCGTCAGGGACTTAGGTCAGGAACACCCCCCCCCCCGAGGGAAGTCCCAAGCCACCCCTTTAAAATTACAAAGGCCATACAGGCCTACTTGGCAATGCATGCCAAGCCCCATTTGAGAGACAATACTCAATTGCTTCAGCCGCTGGAGCTCCAACCTTCCAACCAAATCTCCTGAACGTTCCCTCAACCAAAAGTGACGGGTAACCACGAATGAGGAGTTCCCTTCGAACTGCCATGAAAACCTCAAGATGTCCCCATGAGTCACTTGTCCATCTGAATACCCCATGGGGGTAACGAAATGCTGCCAATTTTTTTTTGAAAAATCCAAAACTTAGTTAGTTTCTCCTCACTCTTTACATTTTATTTATTTCTATTTATTCTTTTATTTTATTTTTATCTCGAACATCCACTGTTTACTCTATTTTTCCCTCCCCTCCATAGTTATTATTTTCTTTCCTTGATTAGGTTGCCGCCACCTTCCCCTAACCGCCTAAACCCCGGTTAGGGTTTCCTTAGGGTTTTTATAGGGTTTAGGGTTTCCCGAACCCCTTACTCTCTACCTCCTCCCGCCGGGCACCTTGGACCCGAACGGCTCCTCCCCCCTCGACCGGATTCGCGCCACCATCACACGCGCGACCCGCTGGTCACGGGGCGAGCCGACCCACGACTACCCACTCTGCTCTCGCGGTCCCCTCCCTCTCATCGGTGGTCCTCTGTCCCCATACCACAACCCATATCTCCCCACACCTCCCACCATGTCGACTTCTCTCCCCCCACTGCCCACGGAGAGCGCTACACCTGAGGAGATCGTCGCGGCGCAGTCCACATCCCAGATCACCACGCAGTCTGCGACTCCTGGTCAGGCCCATGTGGACACCATGGACCTTCATGCTGCCCTTGTAGCGATTCAGGCGCAACTCAGTATGTTGGGACCGTTGCAAGCACAAATCAATGCGCTTGCCCTCGACGTCAACCGCCTCAAGGGCTCCCCTCATCGCTCTCCCCACCGCTCCCACACCCCATCCCCTACCGGCTCCGATTCCAGCTCCCCAGGACTCCGGAGACGGAGTCACCATGGTTCCCCCTCCTCTGGGGGCCAGGCCCAGCACTCCCCCTCGGCGGTGGCGAGTGCTGCTGCCGCTCAGACCACCCCGTCCGTTGTGGCAGTTCTCCCTGCCACGGCCGCCCCTACCGTCTCTACTACTGCCGTAGGTGCTGCGGTCTAGGTACTGCCATCTGGCCGCGCAGTTTCATCGACCTACCCCGGTGTTGCTTCCCAGCTTCCCGCACTGGTCGCGGCAATACGGCTCCGCCCTCTTCTTCCTGCCTTCATCTCCCCACCCCCACAGCAGGGTACCGCCCAGGCTGGGATTCCTCCTCCTACTGGGAGACCCGCCCTGCCCCCTCCACCTCCGACCCCACGCACCCAGCGAGTGGCCACTTTACAGGCCACCATTGCGCAGGCTCAGGCGGAGATTCTCGCTCTGAGACAACCTCACCCATCACAGGCTGCCCACCCTTCTTCCTCTACCACCCCTTTGGTCCCCATGATGCAGGCTCGTTTCCCTCATCCTGCTCCTCAGCCTCTTCCCTCCAACCTGGCTATTCCGGGATAGCTGCCCGCGGCCATTGCCTCCTTGTCTGCTGGTCCATCCGCCAGCGGCCACGGCCCACAACCTTCCCCTGCCTCTACCCCTGCAGCGGCCTCGACTTACGCCACCGCAGTGCACTCGCCTCGATCTCTCTCCCCCCGCCATCAGCACAATGGACATCCTCCTGTGCGCACCATGGACATTCCCGAGTATGATGACACATCCCGTGTCTCTCGCTGGTTGCAGATAGCAACACGCACACTCTCTATGACGACCACCCGTCAGGAGTTGTGGTGCGATGTGCTCGCAACCAAATTGCGAGGTAGCCCTTCCACTGCGTGGGAGGATCATTATACCCAGCGCCTCCGAGTGGGTGAGGTCCCCACTCTGGCCGACTTCGCAGCCTTTCTTCAGGACCGCTTCGGCGCTCGTCATGACGCCACCGACGCCTTAGACCCCGTCACCCAGACCAGATGGTCCGGGTCCTCTGTACCGGCCGACCTGGAGCGTCACATCCGGGTGTTTCAGGACGCTCGCCTTGTCTGTGACGAGACGTTTCTACCGGAGGTCACACTCACCGACCGGTTCCTTGTCAGCCTGCCGACTGACTACCGCCTAGAGCTATGGAGGCGATCATTCTCTTCCGCAGAGCAGGCATACGAGGCTGTGCGTCAGTACCAGAGGATGTGCAGTCGCTTCTCTATTGCCCCATCCTCTTCGCGGCCAGCCGCCACCACCCAGTCTCGGGGTACCACCTGAGGCCGCTCCTCGTTTGCTGGTCTTTTTCGTCGCCCGGCACGACCTGGAGCGCCATTCTCTCGACACTACAGTTCTCTCGAGTATGGAAAGGACGCCTTAGCCGAGCTCGATCCTACCATTGGGAACGCCCCCGAGGACATCGAGCTTCGGGACGTCATCCAGTACCACTTGGATGACAACACTGTCCCAATGGTCGAGCGCCTGCACATGGCCATGTCTGCCATGGGTCGTGCACGCAGTCGGGTTGCACAGGTTGGCGCCCGCACACCCACAGTTCCTCAGATAGACCTCCCGCAGGGTTTTGTCCCTCCTCATGGAGCTCTATCCCTCGAGGAGTGTGCCGCCCTCGAGGCCCGACGCGGCTGCCTTCGTTGCCGCCAGGATGGACACACCTCCTCACGTTGTCCATACCACACCGCCCTCGATCGGTGCTACGCTGACATTTATCGTCAGCGCCGCTCTCTGTCCCCCCCCAGCCCCGCCCGGCCAGCCCCACCCAGCTAGCCACGGTGCAGTGTACCACTGAGGCCTCGCATGTAGCCGGCTTCCCGAACACCAAGTCGCGGTTCACCCCTTTAGCTACCCCACCAGAGGACCCTCAGGACACGACAGACACAGTTCTCTCTGCCCCGTGGTCTGTCGAGGTACCGTCTGCCTCCCAGCAGACCGCCACATCTAGCGCTTCACCCTCGAGACTTCCGACGCGTCGCGCCATTCGCACAGCCCGTTCTAGCGCTCAGTTGGCGACTCGCGATGACGTTGTGTCATCTCTCCATGACTTGAGCATTCTGCAGGATAATGGGGAGGGTACGATCAGGGTCAGAAAGCAGAGCGAGAAGACGACGCAGGACGTTGACGTGTCTCGTGAGTCGCTCCTGTTATCGCGAGTCGCCAACTGAGCGCTACACTGGAAAGTACAAGTT